CTCTGTCTCTGGTGAATCCTCTCACCCCCCCCCACACCTCTAGCCTGTACTCCAGCTCTTGTATGCATAAATAAATCTTTAAAAAAAATAAAATATTGACAAACTTTTTAATAGGTGCATTGGTAAACTAGAAATCATTTGTCTTCAAAAATTGAAGTGATTTCAATTTTAATAGTAATTTCTAAGGTAGGCTATCTTTCTCTGCTAACTTATTATAAACTGAGATGATTTATGAACTGGAGAAAGGAAGCTTTTATTGTCTATGAGTAAAGTCAAAGTATAAGGTAAAGATGACATCAGTTGAATGACTAGTTATATATTTTAAGGTTTTTTTGTGGCCAAAATGCTATCTTTAGCTCCCAATTTTAAATGTTCGGAACTGTGATTCTAAAATAAAAAAGAACTCATAATTCTGTAAAATTATTTCTCTATTATTAAAGCATAATATCCTAAATAGAAAAACTTTATTAACGTTATTGGAAATGAAATGTAATGTCATTAATTTTTATCTAATTCTGATTCTTGATTCCTTAAAATAGTGACACATTTCCCTCAAATATATAATTAAGCACAAAAACATTGTTGCTATTATTTTTTAAAAAGATTTATTTTTTATTTATGCATACAAGAGCTGGGGTACAGGCCAGAGGTGTGGAGGGTGAGAGGATTCACCAAGGACAGAGTGGGGAGCAGAACAGGCAGACTGACTGAAATACACTGCTGAGGGAGCAGCGGCCGAGCCAGGAGAGGTCTGCTGCACCATGTGGGTAGCTCCCTGGCCAGCTGGGGGATGGAACTCTGTGCTGCAGAGGCTAGGAACAGCTCCGTAGGTTGTGTCTTAACCAGGGAGGACCTGTTGCTATTATTTTTGACAAAATAATAAACATATTTACAAGTTTTCTGATTTGGTTGAAAAAATTAAAATCATTTCCTTAAAATACATTGACATTTATCTTTATTTAGAGTTGAGCCTCTCCTAGGCTCCTATAGGTTGAGAACTTGATCTTGTAAACTGTACATTTTTTTTTTTAAAGATTTATTTATTTATTTATACAAGCGCTGGGTACAGTGAGAAGCTGTACCCAGCTGCCCGAGGGTGAAAGAATTCACCAGAGCCAGAGCGGTAAACAGAACAGGCAGACTGACGATACACTGCTGAGGGGGAGCAGGGGGCGGCAGGAGAGGTCTGCGCACCATGTGGGACCCTCGCCTGGCAGCCAGGGATGGCGGTGCTGCAGAGGCTAAGGGCAGCTTCGCAACCCAGCGCTCAACCGCTGCGCCACCCGTGAGGCCCGTAAACTGTACATTTTAAGAATAATAACCTGACTCTTTGGAATAATCTCAGCAAGGTTTGAGACGCAAAGTAAAAATTATGGGCCTCCCCTGGTGGCACAGTGGTTGAGCGCTGGGTTGTGAAGCTGCCCGCAGCCTCTGCAGCGCCGGTTCCATCCCGGCCGCCAGGCGAGGGTCCCACATGGCGCACAGACCTCTCCTTACCCCCTCGGGTCCCCCAGCAGTGTATTTCCCCAGTCTGCCTGTTCTGCTCCCTGCTCTGGTTCTGGTGAATTCTCTCACCCTCCCCCGCTTCTGACTGTACCCAGTGCTTAAATAAATAAATAAATCTTAAAAAAAAAAAAACAAAAACACATACAAAGTAAAAATTAATAAATGTAAACACTAATTTAATATTTTTGTTAAAAATGTAGCAGCAGCCTTAAGAAATTTAAGAAAATGTTACCTAAAGCTAGCTTTTGTTCTCTTCAAAGATTCTTCCACATACACCTACCTATAACATCAGATAAACAGAAATTCATGTTGTTTCTAACAGTGTTTCAAAAGGACTTACATCGTTTTTGTTTTGTTTTTATTTTCACTTTTTTTTTTCATTTTAAAAGGGCAAGTTTATTAGGAAAAAGGATAAAGGAGGTTAAAAGAGACACCTGTATGGACACATATGCTTCCTGTTTTTGTCATGATATTTATTTACAGGGATGAGAATTGGTAGCCTTCTATTACCCCCCTCAAAAAAAAAAAAACAACAACAATAAAACACCCACACTCATACAAGCTTGGAAAAAGAAAATTTAATGTAAAATGTTTGGGTAATAATTTTTAATTCCTAAGTGGTAGAGGAGACAGCTCTTCTGAAAAAGTAAATGTAAGAGTAACATTTCTCTAAAATAGTATATAAAATTTAACAATGAGCATATTGATCCAGCACCCAACTGCATGTAATTGCAATGAATACATTCACTTATGTAATTATTTCTTCTTGGAATTATTTTCTAAGGACAAATTTCCGGGTATGGTTTTTACAGGGCTTTTAACTATTTTAAATAACTTCCCAAATATTTGAAAAGAATTCTTTACAAAGCCATAATATGAAAGTATCTACTTTACCAAAACCTAGCTAGCTTGTTTTATTTTTTAAAGATAAAGTTTTATTTGTTCCCCTATTAACTTGAAATTTCCAAGTTGAGATGAATTTTTGTTTTCAGCTTAACCATTGTGATTCGTTTTTTGGGTGTATATTTGAAGAGATTTGAAAATCCTTTATCATCCTTTTCTATGTGCTCTAGATTTCTTTCCATCTGTTAATATGTAATGCATTTTTCAGAAATGTGAAAGACTTAGTTTTTGGATTCTAAAATAATTTGTCATGTCCTGATCATATTTCTAGCGCTCTGAAAATGACTGAATCAGATAACTGTCTATTCTTTACCCTCTTAGCATTATCCACCAGAACAATTCAGATTTTTCATTGATGGTAATGTCAGTCTTCCTTTGGTAATGAATATTTTAAGAACTCATTTGGAAATTAATTCTACAATAGGTTGATTTTTAATATACTTTTACTCTAGATGCAGTTCCTTTTACTAGAGTCCAAATTACAATGATTCTTTTAAACATAGGAGTCTTAAGGTGAGTTTGGCTATTAGCATCTTTCCCTAAGCTTTTTTTGAATTTGAAAATTTCTCTTTCGACATTAAGTATTCCTTGGTGGAACTGATAAATTTGCTGAATAGCTTGCAATTCTCTGTAACCTATAGTAGACTAGATGTTACAAATAATTAATAGCAAATGTTTTTAAAGAGTTTTGAGAAATAGGAAAGTCTGTCAATAAGCACAAAGATGAACATCTGAAAGAATTGTTGAATCATTAATGTAAAGCTGTTAGCCATATATTATGTGTTCATCACCTTTTCATTATAAGTATATAGACAAGGCCTTCCCTGGTGGCGCAGCGGTTGAGCGCTGGGTTGCGAAGCTGCCCGCAGCCTCCACGGCGCCCGGTTCGATCCCCGGCTGCTCCCTGGCCACCGGAGGAGGGTCCCACATGGCGCGCAGACCTCTCCTGCCACCCGCTGCTCCCCTCAGCAGTGTACTTCGGTCCTTCTGCCTGCTCTGCTCCCCGCTCTGGCTCTGGTGAATTCTCTCACCCTCCCGCGCTTCTGATTGTACCCGATGCTTCTATAAATAATAAATAATTAAATAATTAAAAAAATAAGTATATAGACAAATTATAAGTATATAGACATTATAAGTATATAGACAAGTAGATAGATAAGTTTTTTCTTTTAAGGCTACAGATTTAAGATATTTAAAGCATAGTGCTCTGTGCAATTCTTTAACATTTTCTTACTAATCCATCTTTGCAATAAAATAAATTTTTGAAAAGATGAGCAAATTATAATAGGAAATAAAATATGAATTATACATTTAAAATGTCTCATAAATACCTACATGTAAACAGGCATCAAAATGATATGTAAATAATATGATATAAACTTTGTTAATTAAAAAATTCAAAACTATAGCAAATAATTATAAATATAGAAAAAGTATTAGAAAGAAAGTCACTAACATTTAGCAGAGATTGTCTGAAGTGGCATGGTAAGGAGGTATTTATTCTTTTTCCTTTCTGTATTTTCTATAATCTTTGACATTAGTATTTTATATTTATAATTAGGGAAAATGTAGTTTTAAAGAAAAAAATTTCTCTTATTTACTGATCCTTAAATAGCATATCAAGATGTTAAGCTGATCTACTTAAGGTCTTTTAAGGAATCTGTAACTTGATCCTTTCTCCTCTTTTTTCCCTGCTGCACAAAAATTCTTTAGTAACTCTAAGAATAGGAGGAGGGCTTAGGGGTTGGGTATCTCATCGTGTTTTTGATTGAAGTAACTACAGTCAGATACAAAGTTTTCGCAACTGTTGATATCTTAGAACTATTAACTCCTGTATTCTAAATAAAAACAACAAAACTAGTTAAAATCATTAGTAGAAAATATATGTAAGTCCTTTATTTATTGCTTTTGAAGTTTATGAGACAATGTGTATTTATACAATGTGAAATTGGTATGTTGACTTCCTGGCATTTCTGATTGCTAGGTCACAGGAATTCTGAAACTCACAAATTATTTGAAAATTTTAATTTAGACTATATTTTAGTATTGTGGCTCTCACAATGAATAACTTGAAATTGAAATTAAAACATTTAAAATAAGTTCAAGGGTACTTATTTTTGCATAATAACTAGCATTTTAACACAGGCTTCTTAATGGCTGTAATTATGTTACTTTTTCACCTACATGGAGTAAATAAATATGTAGTCATGGCATTCTGCTGAAACATTGGTTTTTTCATACTCTTGACCTCTTAAAAGCAAATGAAAAATGAAAGGGCCAGAAGGAAAATGAATAGTTAATTGTGGAGGAGGAGAAAACCTAGCTCAGTACTTTGACTAGTGGCAGCTGGGGAAGTGACGTCCTGTAGCATTTGCTGTTCTAGAAAGTACAGAGACACGTAGTGAAAATGGGAGGATCTAGAAGGAGGCCGTCTCCTGTGTAGTGTATATTTATCTGTAAGTGAGCTGTTGGGGAAGGAATTAAATACGACAGTGCCTCTACACTGTTTGCTTGCTGCCTTAAGACAGCTGAGCTGCACTGCTGATTTGCTTTAACTTTTAAAATACCCAGCTGGATTTATTTTTCCTCAGAATCGTTGTATTGCTAAGACTGGGGACGCTGTTTTCTTTCACAAAGGGAAATCTAAGTTCATTTCAAGGCATTCGAAATGGGGAAAGACTATTATTACATTTTGGGAATTGAAAAAGGAGCTTCAGATGAAGATATTAAAAAGGCTTACCGAAAACAAGCCCTCAAATTTCATCCGGACAAGAACAAATCTCCTCAGGCAGAGGAAAAATTTAAGGAGGTCGCAGAAGCTTATGAAGTATTGAGTGATCCTAAAAAAAGAGAAATATATGATCAGTTTGGGGAGGAAGGTACGTATTCTGTGTATATCTTTCTGTCTCTCCAGCTCTTTCTCTTTTTTCCCTCAGCTTTTTGGTTACTATTAAATTTAATTCTTAAACATATCAAAAAGTAAAAAGACAAATAGTGAATAAAAACAAGATTTTATCCTTAATCTTATGAATGAATATTACATAGCTGTGAATGAAATGTAATTGTCTTTTTTTTTTTTTTTGGCAATTTGTAATGTATATGTTCTACCATTAGATTTTTAATACTTTGATGTTAATCTGTATTTTAATAGAAACTAAATTCCCATGCCCATTAATGAATTGTGTCAAAAGTCTTATGCAACCTATTTTGTTTCCTAATGAATTTTCTGTGAAAACCAATAAAGATCCTTCAATCATTAAAAATCTTTTGGCAGTTCAAATTCTGGGTGGTTTATATTTTATTCACAAAAGCAAAAGAAGTTTTTTTTTTTTTTGCCTTACAGCAAAGCTAGTTTAGACTGAACAAGACAGTCATCACTCTGAGAAGCAGAAGGCCTAGGCATTTAGCTCTAGTTGTTTTTGGCATTCTGCCTGGAGAGGAAAGAATTTTCCTGATGTCATAAAATACCAGAACAAGTTTTTAGCTTAATTGTAAACAGTAATTGTATGCCAAGACATGAGATCTCAGAAATACAATTTTTGACCTAAAATGGCCACCTCGTTAGAACAATTATTGATTTACTTTTAGGTGACATTATTTCTTTGGACATTTTACTCTCTAGTATAGAGGAAAGAATGACAACTTCTCTCTCCTCTCCTCACATACTTTTGTTTCTTGCATTGTGAAATCAGAAACTAGTTGAATATAGCAAAGGACATAATTTAAATTATCCTTTTATCATTCTGGATTTTAAATTGCCCATCATATCCATATAAATGTAACTGTAAAGTAGGAGTACTTTAAATTGCTAATTAACACCAACTAAAACATTTTAATTCCTGAAGGTTCTGTTATTTTAAACTTTATTTTGTCATTGAAACGTTGGTTTGTAACACTTTGTATGTTTCAGATATATAGACTTACATATCAGCATCTATATATGCTACATTATTCTCATCACCAAGTCAAGTTTCCCTTGGTCACCAAAAGGTTGATCCCTTTTACCCAATTTACCCACCCTGTTTTTCCTGTCAACTTTTTTCAGGACAAAGTTATCATTTTCTCCTCCAATATTCTCTGTTAAGTCGTTGCAGTTATTAAAACATCTTTACTGCTTTTTGGCTTTACTGCCTTTAATGCTAAATTTTCTCAGTAGAGATATATCCTAAAATAGCATGAAATGATCACTTATGTTCATAAGGAGCTAAAGATTGTATTTTAGAAAAGTGGGGTGATTATAGAGGGCTTTTTCTTGTTTTGTTTGGTTTTGATCTGATTTACCAAAATTGTAGTTTGTGCTGCTGGTTTTGGTGTGGTGAGGACCTGCAGTGTCAGGTTGTTAACAAAGTAAATACTGAAAAAGGCATATAGTGGGCAATTCAATCCTGCTTGTTTCTGTGATAATGATTTTGTTCATCGCAAAAGCTATGCCGGATTCTGAGATACCACTAATAATATATCATATCTTTCTGAACAAGTTACTTTATGACTTTGTAAAGAATTCCATAAACATGGAGTAACACTCTTAAGTTCCCATGAAAAGGAGGATATCCCCAGCTTTAATTGACAACTTAAGTTTATGACTAAGCCTATGGGATTCAATGCTTATTAACGGTATTTGTCTTCAGAACTTTGTCGGCAAATGATACATTTTTCTTGGTTTAACATTATCTCTTAATGGTATTTTTCTCGAATGATATTTCTCCACTTTGATTTTTATTGGTCATTATAATCTGTGTACCCTGAATCTTTTCCCATTACTCAGATAATTGATAAATGATGGAAGTAATAATAGGAAGGGGGAGAATAAGTTAGGTAAAGCACTGAAATAACATTATTCTGAAATATTTTCTAGTTACTTAAAAATATAGTTGAATTAGTTATTTGGTTCTGTTAATAAATTTTTCTTCCTTTACAGAAATGTATTGTATTTATTTGCCCTTTATTCAGAACATTTCAATTCCTTATAAAGTCTTCTATAGGTGTCTTGTGAAAATGTGGGAAAACATTTTTTATCTTTAACTTTCACTGATCTGTTTGTGCTTGCAGGTCTGGTGATGTAGACCTATGGGTTTCTCTAGTAGTAGCAAAACACTGAAATTTTGGACTGTGGAGCCACTACTAATTTACCTAACTTTTTCCCCCTCAATTATTACAGATTCTAGACCTGGGAGAGTGGGAATAATGAATCATGAATTGAGAAGGATATGAGTTAAATATACTAAATTGATATATTTAGACACTGAGAGAATCAGTGATCCAATTTATTCGTGTTTTGAATATCTCTAATATCCACAATTTTAAATGCTGAGTTTTTAAAAGTTGGATTAAAAGTAGAGAGGCTTTAAATTCACCTTATGACCCAGCAATCCCACTTCCAGGAATTTATAAAAGAGAAACAGAAACACAAGTCCACACCAAGACATGTCCGTGAATGTTCATAGCAGCATTATTTGTAATGGTTCCAAACTAGAACAATCCAGAGTACCATCATTTGGTGAATGGATAAGCAAAATGTGGTATATATGTTCACAGTACCCCCCCCCACACGAATACTACTTAGCAATTAAAAGGATTGATTTAATGAAACATGCCATAGAACATGTTTGAACCTCAGAAACTATGCTAAATAAGTCGGATGTCAAAGACCACATATTCTATGATCCCATTTATGTGAAATACATGGGAAAAGCAAATTTGTAGAGAAGGAGCAGATCAGTTGTTTCCTAGGGTGAGAGGTGGGAGTGGGATTAGCTACAAATAGAAACTAGAGAACTCTTTGGGTTAATGAAATGTTCAATAATTGTGTAGGTGGTGGTTATAGCACTTCACAAAAATTATTTAATTTGGTATATTTATAGTAGATTAATTTTATGATACATATATTTAAAGTTATTTTAAGAAGTAGAAAAATTTTCTCCATAGTTGAGCAGAAATAAATTTAAAATTGGATTTTGAACTTATCACTTCTAAAAGTTTTAGGTTCTGAATTATTCAGTGGAAGTCATAGTTTATATTAGAAGACTAAACAAAAATTTTAATGACATAATCTTACACTATTATAATTCTCTACTGCTTCTTTTTCCTTTTTTTTTTGTTTATTGTTTATAGTTTCTCAATAATTTGCTTTAAGTACTGAAAGGTAGTATTTATGTGAACAAACTTATATTTAGTATATTAATCCTTATCTAGTTCATTATTTCTGTTCTTTATATATTTAATCACTTGGATATCTTTTTTACTATGTATTCCTAAAAATAAGTAAATTGTATTTTTGTGAATTTAAATTGTTTAAAGAATCTCACTATGCTAGTACCTATAAATCTTGCTATAAGTCTAGCTTTTCATATTAGATCTCCTTAAAATAAGTTATTAAAGTTGTAATTTTTTTCTTTGAAACTCTACCTCTTTTTCAATGCTGCTGCTTTTGATGAAGTTTTAGTCAACTCATTAGTGGAAGTTAAATTATAGATAATATCCTAACCACATGTTTTCAGGTAGCAAATTAGTTGGTTGGTTCGTCATTTTTAAATAGCAGCTTTGCTAAAGTGTAGATAAATATTGATTCTAGTGTACACTCCTTGATCACAGGAGGTAATAATAGTGTCAAGAAAACATTTTGGTAGAGAAAATCTAGCTGAATATTAAAAATTTTCATGAGCAGTCAAATAGTTAATAGTGTAATAGTTCATTAACTGCATAGTTGATGACATGCCTGTTATAATTTAAATGATAGACAATACATAATAATTTTATATTGTGTGCATTTTGGTAGGATTTTCTCACTTATTATAGTATCCTTGTTCTTTGTCTGAGCTTTGTAGTTGACTCTACTATCAAAGAAAACCTCAGATTCCATTGGAGGCTTTTTGCCACCTTGATAAATGTTACTTCAGATAGTGTGTGAATTTTCTCAGGGATTCTGAGTTCCTTATTGAGTTATCATTTTTGGCAGAGAAGGGAAGAGGTTTTAGGGAAAAGCCAAATACATGATGTAATAACTTAAAATGTTGTTCTTTCTTTTCATGAATTCATTATGGATCCAAACCATTTAGATAATGCCTTATAGAGTTGGATTGTGCAAACTAATGTATTCAATTTACTTTATTAACTCTGTTAAATTGCACTCTTATTTCTGGAATGAAAAATGAAATGTTTGAAATAATTTAAGCATTGCTTTAGCCACATTGCTCATGACCTTGAGTAACATACATGTTTTGTCATTAAAAACTATCACTAATTTTTTTTAACATTTGTAGTTATAACTTTACCAATGGAATTTATATAAAAGAAAGTTTTAGATGAGCTATATGTTAAAAGTTTTTGTCCTCTTTATACTTGTCATTCTGTTTCTACAAGGAATATCTCTAACTGCTGTAAGATATATCACTCAATACATATTTTGACAATTTAAATTTCTCTTGGTCTCTCCAGATTCCTATTCATGGATGAAGGTAAACATTTAAACATCAGCTGAGACTGGCTGTTGGATGAAATAGAGTACATTTATACCCTTTTTTGGGAAGAAGCTAAATAGATTAAGACATGCAAAACTAAGTCCCTTTGAAAGCCTGTCGAGCGATTTCAACAGAATTTTTTTATTATTGAAATTTCCTATGTGTGTATGTGAGGTTATACTGTAAATTGCTTTGATTTCTGTCTTCTCTGTGTCCTGATATTTATGGCATCTTTTAAAGTTTTTATTTAGGAGACTTAAGAATTAAATTCATTCCCTTTATTCAATACACATAAGTGCCTGTAATTTTTAATCCTGTATGCATGAGCAATGCAAAGATGAATAAAATGTACTTCCAGCCCTCAAATTAGTCACTGTTTGGTATCTCTTAATTTAATCTCTTGAATTTTTCAGTTTTATAGTTTTTAAATTCCATTCCTGCTCTTTTTTCATTGGTCAGGGATGTCCATAGGATTCACTCAGAAATTCTGCTAATATTGTAATTATGCAAATCCTTGTCAGTATTGATCTCTTAAAAGATCACTTTACTCTGTTTTGTCAATTTTAGTAGGCTCTTTATTTGGTATATAGTGGACTGTGCTGTTTTGAACATGTAATCTCTTGTGAACTACGTATTTTTTAGTTGAGTCTCAGAGCAAAGGGTCGAAGGGGTCACTATCTTGTGTCTGAATAGACAGAAATAACCATTCCAAAGGTTTTGCATGTCAAGGGAGTGTACAACTTTTGATTTCAGTCATCTTTACAAGCAGCTGAAATGAATGCTACCACATGGTATACCTAAGTAAACAATTTCATTATTGAAGATAGGGATGATAGTTTTAGTGTTTAAAAAAACATTTTTTAAAAGGGTGTCCTTATTATTAGAGTTTTTTCTGATAATTTTTTCCAATAATATTTTTTCTAATAATTTTTTCTGCCACAAATTGAGTTAGATTCTTTTTTTTTTTTAAATTTAATTTATTTATATAAGCACTGGGTACAGTCAGAAGCGTAGGAGGGTGAGAGAATTCACCAGAGCCAGAGGGGAGAACAGAGCAGGCAGACTGAAGAAGTACACTGCTGAGAGGAGCAGCGGGGCGGCAGGAGAGGTCTGCGCGCCATGTGGGACCCTCGCTCGGTGGCCAGGGATTGAACCAGCGCTGCAGAGACTGCAGGCAGCTTCGCAACCCAGCGCTCAACCGCTGTGCCACCTGGGGAGGCCCCACAAATTAAGTTAGATTCTTAAACAATACAAGATGATCTAAAGTAAAACTAGTCAGTATAAATGTATTTTATATTATTGTTTATAGCGGTACTTAAAAATATAGATTATGCTTTTGCATTGATTAATGAGGAACTTTCAATAGCCATCTTTTAAAAACTTAAATTTATCTACTTCAGAATGTCAAATCAAGAGATTATGCAACAAGAGTATACTGATTTTTATTTATCGTATTTACTTGTAAAACAAAGATTCAGGAATAATTCAAAAGCTAAAAATTTAACTTAGGGTGGAATGATCAGAAATAACATAGCCATTATATATAGTTATTATGGCATTTTAGACCAATATTAATAAAATTGCAACCTAAGTTGGCCAAGGTTTATTAGTAATACAATTTTTGTAATTTTAACTTTCATCAGTTGAAAGCTTTTTTCTAATCATGCTTATCTCTTCATTTAGGGTTGAAAGGAGGAGCAGGAGGTACTGATGGGCAAGGAGGTACTTTCCGGTACACCTTTCATGGAGATCCTCACGCTACCTTTGCAGCATTTTTTGGAGGTTCCAACCCCTTTGAAATTTTCTTTGGAAGAAGGATGGCTGGCGGAAGAGATACTGAAGAAATGGAAGTAGACGGAGACCCTTTCAGTGCCTTTGGATTCAGCATGAATGGATACCCAAGAGACAGGAATTCTGTGGGACCATCCCGTCTCAAGCAAGATCCCCCAGTTATTCATGAACTTAGAGTATCACTTGAAGAAGTATACAATGGTTGTACCAAAAGGATGAAGATTTCTCGAAAAAAGTTAAACCCTGATGGAAGGAGTTACAGATCTGAGGACAAAATTCTCACAATTGACATTAAAAAAGGATGGAAAGAAGGCACCAAAATTACTTTTCCGAGGGAAGGAGATGAAACACCTACCAGTATTCCAGCAGACATTGTTTTTATCATTAAAGATAAAGAGCACCCAAAATTTAAAAGGGATGGATCAAATATAATTTATACTGCTAAAATTAGTTTGCGAGAGGTAAGTTAGTATGACTAGGATTCTGGGACCAGGCAATTGTATAGCTAATGTTAGGGAATTTAAGTAATAGCTAACATTTATTATTTAACATTATTATTTAATGCTTACTACACATTATTTTTTTCAAATTTTCATAAGACCCCTTTGACATGGATAAGATTGTATACTGTAAGTTTAGTTACCTATACAATTTAAAGGCCAATTTTAATTGCTAACTGGAGTATATACAGAGAGTCCTAGTACTGGGTTAACTCTACCTATTTTTACAATTAGGGATTATGAGTTTGGCATTATATAATATTATATAGTCCATATATAAGATTTTCTCCAAAACTGTCAATTTGGAGTAATAATTATATAACGAAAAAGACATTAAACATCAACATTTATAAGGGTACTGCTTTAATATATGAGTTGTTTATTTGTTCTATTTTAGGCACTTTCTCAAATTAGATTGTAATCCTGCAGATGTGACCATATCAGTTCCCTGATTAAAATTCTTAAATGGCTCCACACAGCATCTACTATAAAGTCCAAACTCTTTAGCTCAAAATGAAAGGTCATTTTAATCTGATTTCTACCCATGACTATATATGTATTTCCCCAAGTTTGCTCTGTTACTATCTTGTATACTTAAGTGTCATTGTCTGGGCTCTCCTCCATGCAACATGCTTGTTCCTCATTCTGCTTCATTGCCTGCTTCTGGTCCAAACTTAACTCAAGCATTCTGTACTCTAAAGAAGTACAGAATGTGCCAGTATTATACTGTATTATAATTATTAGTTTGCTCGAGTTCCTTGTGCATTCCTTGAAATTGCATCTATATTTATGGCCCTAGGTACTCAGGACCTAGCAGGAAAGTGAATAAGGAGTAAGGAGGTGCTCAGTAACAAACATTTTTGACTAAAGCAATAAATCTGTTTCTTCTTCTAATGTTTTCCCTCCTGAGAACTGGATAGTTGCTCCTATCCTATTCTTTCTAGTCCTGAATTTCTCCCTCTTTTCTGCTCCCTGCCCATCCCTACATCTTGGGTGCTGATGTAGCTGCCTTTCTAGGGCAATGGGAGGGATCTCTTTCCCTTCTCTTTTCTTTTTCCCTTTCCCTTTCCTTCCTCTTCTCCTTTCCTTCTTTTGTAACACATCTGATACATATTCTGAAGCGATTTTCTAATGGCGAAAAGTCTTACAATTATTGATATTCTTTGGCAGTTAAAATTTTACCTTAGTCATACCATCCTTTATACTTGGTAATCTCTTTGTTTAGAATTTGACGTTATAAAATTTGTTAATTTTATATGGTCCATTTCAGGCATTGTGTGGCTGCTCAATTAATATACCAACAATGGATGGAAGAACCATACCTATGTCAATAAATGATATTGTGAAACCTGGAATGAGGAGAAGAATTATTGGATATGGGCTGCCATATCCAAAAAATCCTGACCAACGTGGTGACCTTCTAATAGAATTTGAGGTGTCCTTTCCAGATACGATACCCTCATCATCCAAAGAAGTACTTAGGAAACATCTTCCTGCCTCATAGAATGAAAAACTTTGTTACTCATATTTTGATAAGGCACTGAAAATATACAAGGACTGACAGTTTACTGATGTAGATGTGAATTCTGTATAAAGATGTATAAATTATTTTGAGGGTTCATTAATTTGCATGAAGAGAAACGGGTCAAATAAATAGGCAAAAAGGATTTTTACAGTTAGAGATGAAGAGAAAACCATTCACTGTATTTTATTCCATTTCTCCCAAGTAAGAAATTTTTAGTATTTTTGCCTATGTGTAAAATTTGTTTTTGTGGAGTTAGTAGATAAATTTCTTACAAGTATTAAACTACCCAAGTACTTTTTCTCCTTATATTTTCACGTTATCAGTATGACTGGTTCTCATTTATAATGGAAATTTAAACTCTCAACTAATATATATGTGATATGTATTTCTAGAAGAGAGTAAAAACCCATGTCATTTGGAAATGTGGTTAACTGTATTTAAATCACCAACTGAAATGCTGCTATCGGGCTGGTACCCATAAAGTAATATCCTAATACATTTGTTTCACTATTTTAATTTTTAAAGTATGCGGTTATGTTTCTTAATAGTGTAATTGTAATGTTCTTAAGGCAAATCTTTTCTTCATAAAAAGGAAATTAATGGCAGTATATCTCCTGTGGAAATCCAATTGCCTGAATTACTGATATTTTAGAAATAGACTGTTTTTAAAATGCCATGTGTAATTTTATGAAAGTTACTACACATCTTGGACTTAATAAATTAGAGACACATTTTATTGTCCCCTAGTTTAAAATAATTTGTTTAATAATAAATATGTTTTTAGAGGAAATATCATTACTTAGAATTAATTTTCCAGTTACACAGTCTTCTATAACTTACTCGTAATATGCTACATGTACCTTATGCAATTTCCCTAAAAAGAATAAACTACCACTGTGGTGTTAAACCAAAATATGGGGAAAATAAACACTAACTGCTACTTACGAATGATGTTGCTACTACTTGTTATGCATATAAATATTTTACTTTTTCATATGTATGGTTTGCATTTCTTAGGTGTTTTAATTTTTTAAATATATTTACATTTAAAAGTTTGTTTTGTTTTCTGTTTTATAACTAGTGAGAATGATGTTTTGAAATGTTCATTCAAAAGTAATTTTCATGGCGTAAGGATCCTGTCACCTTTTAGCGTATGAAAACTTCACTCAGAAAGTAATAGGTCATAGTCACCATATACTTTCCACCTTTACTGAGAGATAATTTGCATGCAATGAAGTTTACGCTCTTTAAAGTGTTTCAGTGATTTTAGTATATTCAGATTGTACAACCATCACCACTGTGTAATACCAGAACATTTCATCATCCCCAAAGAAACCCTATATCCATTAGCTGTCACTTCCCGTTTCTCCTGCCAATGCTAATCTTCCTGCATTTATCTGTTCTCTATAATTCATGTGAATGGGATCAAACTATATGTAGCTTTTTTTTTTGTTTTGCTGCTTCTACTTAGCATATGGTTTTCAAGGTTCATCCACATTGCGTCTTGTATTCGTACTTCCTTCCTTTTTTATAATATACCATTGTATGGATACACCACATTTTCTTTATCCATTCATTACTTGATATGGGCATTTAGGTTATTTCCACTTTCTGGCTATTCTGAAAATGTTGCTGTGAATTTTTTTACTTTTTTTTGTGGATGTAACTCCAATGCTCTTGGATATATACCTATGAATGGAGTTGCTGGGACTAACCACTTCAAAGGAGTAACCATTCCATTTAGTTGGAAAATACTTGAAATGCCAGAGAATTCAACTAGTCACACTTATTATTGCTTATCATTCATAAATGATTTCTTTTTAAACTTTTTTTGTTTCTCCAAGTGACAGTTCAAACTCTTTAGGGAAGTATGAACAGTATTATGGAAATTTTCTCAAAGATCTAAAGAGCTGAAAAACATCAGAGTAGTGGGTGTGGTTTCTATTTTAAATCCTCTGTCATTTATTGTAATTTTCTTGATTAAGCATTTTTCCCAGGTTAAGTAAAGGATTTATACATTAGGTAGATGCTTAATCTTTGTATTTGAATTATTTTTGAAAGTATGTAATTCTTCAAGTAGAAAAATTAATTTGCTTTTCTATATAAAAACAGCATGCCAATCTTTTTTCTTGAAGGATACTGATTATGCTTTTAGCATGTAGTAAATGCCAGGGGTTATTTTTGGTTAAATATTGAATCAATGTAAAAGTAGAATCTTAAAAGTTTTCTTATTTAAATTATGAAAGTACTTTGGATTTAAAATTTTTTTTAATTCAACCAGGTTGTTGAATACCTTGAATAGTATTGAAGTACTACAGATTCCAGTAAATGAACTGATAAAAAGATTATCTTTCCTACAAGAAAAAGTACAAGTTGCTAGGAGGTTTTAAGACAAGGTGTACCATCTTCTGTTGTCACTGACTTAACCATTCTTGAGTTACATTAAGGCCCTTCATACCTTCATTTGCCTCATTGCTTCTGAAAGTATCTGAGTTTGTGACTCTTTTTTTTTTTATTTTTTTAAATAAATTTTATTTTTATATTCCCCATACAATTGCAACCCCCTTATTTTGACCCCAATCCCTCCCCTCCCCGCCCCGCACTCCCCTGTGACTCTTTTTTTCAGCCCATCACTCCTGCCTGTTAGCCTTTCCTGGTAGTAAGAAGTTGAAAATTTCTTGTTTAAGGAAAACTTCATTTGCCTAATGATGATAGATAAAATAAAATATGTAGTTAGACTCCATAAATGGCTTAGAAGTAACTATCCTCATCTTTTTAGAACTATTTAATCTCACAGAGTTAGGGCTCTTAGTCTGATCGCAATGATTATCTAATATTGCGTAGTGTCCTACTATATATATGTATGTTTCCCCATTATAAAGTATAGAAAGGAAAAATGTCATTTTTTTACTTTTAAATAATAACTTACTTAAATAGCTATGTTTTGTAGTTTATATATTTTAATTTTTTACACATTTATGTGATATTTTTTGTTCATCCAATTCATAAAACTTCTGGGACTGGAAAGAATTTTTGAGATTACATTTTCAAGATAAGGAAGTAAATTCAGAGAAGACAAGTGACTTACGTGTGGCTAAAAAGCAAGTTTGTAAGGGAATTCTGAGACTGGCTTCTGTTATTCTCTATAGTATTTTCCAGTATTCTCCTGTTGCTAAATTTCCTTCCCTTATTTTTTTTTATGTAGTCACTGTAATTTAGCAAATTTTAAATATTTTGAGTCATTAATATGTGGAATATAAACTCATGATGGTGTTAATAGAAAAATTTTGAAAAAGTTACAAAAACTCTTATTTTTTAAAAAGTGAATTAACAGCTCAGAATTTAAAATGTATCCTTCATTAATAAAAAAATACTCAATGTTATTCTCAAAGTACTGTAAGGCCAAAATGAGCTTTTATAAATATTTCATTTATATATTCATACAGATTTTTATATATTTGAAGTTATGACTTAGATTTATATATCTTTGTTGATAATCCAACTTATAGACATATTTTATATAATTATAAAATCTATAAATTAAGATATATAGTCTACATAAAGATATATAAATTAAATTAAGATTTTTTTCCCAAGTAAAAACATTACCATTCAAAATATGTGAAATTAAAACACTGTAAAACAGAAAGAGGAAGATCAAAGGAAGGAGAGAAGGATGAAAGAGGACAGGAAGAAAAACACCCTGCAGCTAGCTATTACTGAGGAGAAAAATTTATAATGAGTTAGTTGTAATAACATATGGAAGCTCTGCAATCATTTGCAAATACAGCAGCCACTCCTAAACTAAAAATGGAAGGGTCCATCAATGTTTTGGATCCATGATAGATTTGTGATAAGAATTTTAAGTTATTATATAATGGGTTTGATATTGAGAAAAATAGTATTCTCAGTAGGGGAAAGTAAATTTTACCATGACTTTTATAAATTACACTCTCTTACTGATTAAAGTTGAAGTTAGAAGTGCCAACTTCAGAGTAGTAATTACACAGTTGAAATAGTTACACATTTAAGCCTTTTCCCCACAGTATTTGATGCATAAATTTCAGAAGAAATTGTTCAGAAGTTAAAATTGGAAACCTGAACTGATAATGGGATCTTAGTACTAAAAAATTAATTTCTGGGTTACATAAGTTTATTCACAATAAGTTAGAAGAGTATACCTGATAACCAAGGGTGGTGTATTCTAGGTATGCAAAGCTGGTTTAGAATACTTAATTTCTCCAATACAGCATTGTTCCTTCTCATCTCTATGCTGTTACTAACAATACAGTGCTTCTAAATGTATGCAAAAACATTACATGAATACTGTTTTATACAATTGCTTTTTAAATCAGTGAAGAAAGGAGAATAGGCTTCCCCAGTGGTGCAGTGAGTTGAGCGCAGCACTGTGAAGCTGGCCGCAGCCTCTGCAGCACAGGTTCAATTCTTGGTCAGCCCAGGGAGATACCCACATGGTGCTGCAGACCTCTCCTGTCGTGCCTGCTGCTCCCCTCAGCAGTGTCTTTGGTCCATTTGCCTGATCTGCTCCCTGCTCTGTCTCTGATGAATTCTCTCACTCTCCCGTGCATCTGGCCTGTACCCCAGCTATTGTATAAATAAAAAATAAATCTTTGAAAAAAAAAAAGACTGCCATTCAGCCTCCTGCTTGTTGTATTCCTGATTTATCACCTTAAAAAAAATGAGAATAAATATGCATTTATACTGTCCTAATATTACATAATTATCAGTACTCTTTCTTGTGGACTTGAAGTACTTGTAATACTTCTTAGTTGTTCAAATATGTGAAATCATTAAAATGCCTAAGATAGTAAAAATGTTTAAACAAATGTCATTGGAGAAAGAGGATCGATGTATCTTTTTTCCTTTTTTGGCCTTCATTATTTTTTTTTGTTGTTGAGGTGCAATCACATAATAAGTTTATCATCAGCCATTTTTTCCCCAAAAGTGTTTATTGAGGTAAAGTAAGTTTACATCTTTGTATCTCCTCTAGGGGTTATAAAGCCTCTACAGATGTATTTTTTTTTAGGATTTTTAATTTTATGCATATAAGAATTGGGGTACAGGCCCGAGATGAGGGGGGAAGGGGTGAGAGGATTCACCAGAGACAGAGTGGGGAACAGAACAGGCAGATTGAAATACACTGCTGAGGGGAGCAGCGGGTGAAACAGGAGAGGTCTGCTGCGCCATGTGAGTCAGCTCCCTGGCGGGGGATCGAACTCCTGCTGCAGAGGCTGCGGACAGCTTCACAGTGCTGTGCTTTACTCCTTGGACCACCAGGGAGGCCCAACAGATGTATATTTTTAATCCCTGCCCATCACAAATGCCCCCAACAATCCTCTACCATGTTCCATTGGGCCCCTCTGCTCACATTTGAAGTATAAGATAGATGGAATAATTAAAGTATACAGTAATCCATGACAAAAGGGTGATATGTTTAAACTATGACCAACTTAAGAAGTAAAGAAAAGTAATAATGGAAAGATTACCACTAAGCATCAGGCTTTACCAATAACTGTATTTATAATCTTGGGTAGGTGGTAAAATTTCTCTGCCTTAGGTTTTGTTTTTTTTTTTAAAGATTTATTTATTTATTTATACAAGCACTGGGTACAGTCAGAAGCGCGGGAGGGTGAGAGAATTCACCAGAGCCAGAGCCGGAGCAGAGCAGGCAGAAGGACAGAAGCACACTGCTGAGGGGAGCAGCGGGCGGCAGGAGAGGTCTGCGCGCCATGTGGGACCCTCCTCCGGTGGCCCGGGAGCAGCCGGGGATCGAACCGGCGCTGCAGAGGCTGCGGGCAGCTTCGCAACCCAGTGCTCGATGGCTGCGCCACCGGGGAGGCCCTGCCTTAGGTTTTCTTCATTGGTAAGATAAAAATATAAGGTGATCCCTAAGTCTTAGATAGCTTGAAAATGTTTTCCTAACAAGGAATATTATAGAATGATGACTTAAATTTTATTTTATTTTTAATTTATTAATATAGTTTATAAAATTAAGATGAAATATTATCCATAATGAATCTAGAGGGA